TTCCTGCTGCTTCTTGTTTAATCTATTTGAAATAAACTGTTGCTTGGGCACTTAAAAGATCAGATGAGTATTTTTGCAAACTGTTCGCCTATCACAAGTTGATGATCATAGAATTGAACTATAATAAAAGGTAGTAAGTCAGCCGTTTGTATCCTGAAATGAAGTTTTGGTCAGTTTTTGGTCATTCTTCTGCAAGTAACATACAACTCTGTAGTCATGAAGAAATGAGGGCAACTAAAGTGTGCATGGCTAGAGTTCCTTCTTTCTTTATTCCTCATTGATGGTTTGGGAAAAAATCAGAACTTCAGGTACACGTCTTCTTACAGTGTGTGTGTGTGCGTGCATATTTATATATATCTTTCCTGTCCAGGGGAGGGGAGGGCATAAAAGGTCTTGGCCTATAATTGGAAGTGCTGTGTATAAGCCACTTAATTCTTTTACTGTTTTCAAGCTGTTAGAAGCAGTTGTAGTTCAAGCCTGGACTACAGGACATCTCAGACCGTAGCCAAGATGACAATTTAATCTCTTAATCCTTCTTGCTCTTTAGACTTTCTCAGAAGAAACCTGAGAAGAAATCCATCCCCATAGTGGTGGCTTTCTCCTGTTTTGGTGGACTAAATGCTTCTGCTATAGCTGCCTCCAGGTAGGCTCCTCTGTCATCCTCCACGTATCCCTGTGAATGCTCCATTCTTTCCCCCTGCTGCCAGATCATTTGTATTTTTTGTAAGTGCACTTTAGTACTACCAGGTAGCGGCAGATAGGGTAGAATGGGTCAAACACCCAATTCAGAGTCCCAGACTGGCTCATTTGTGGAGGATCTATGATTGTATAACTGTGGTTTTAGCAGAAAGCAGCCACTAACTCTTCTCCTTCCCACTTTTATTTTATTTTTTTCCCTCTTGGTAAAGTGCACGCGGACTATGTGCTCGATAGCTTTTTATATCTTTTCTCTGCCCATTTTTCTTATGGAAAATAACCCTCTGACATGCACACATAGTTAAATGCTTTTTGTGGCCACTTTTATACTTATATTTCAGTAACACTTTCTGTGAAAAACATTGTAGATCTTTGTTTTGTAGCATCTGTTAAAATGAGAGTGTTGAAGAATTTATAAATGAAAGGTGAAAATGTGTTTTGGTGTCAGTAGTAATACAAAAGCTTTGTTTACAAAAAACATCTGCATAGATGCTGGGATGATAACTTGTCATGGTGAAGCTAGTGAATATCACCTGGAAATTAGATTAATCTTCAAGTATGTGTCAACTGAAACAACTATATCTTCCTGAAAGATCATTTTGCTGGCAGATGTATTTGGCCAACCAAACTGAACTTCCTAGATAGTCCTAAATTAAAATACTCTTTTGTATTGTCTCACTTAAGGAAAAGTGAAGCTCTTGAAATCAACTTTCTGCTCCTTGCTGTCTCAGGAATCACAACTACAGCATTAGTATGCTCATCTTAGATGTCACAGTATTTGGTAAAGGCTTTCAATTTGGTAAAGACTCTTCTTTCTGCCAAAGAGGCTGACTAGTACAGAGAAAAAAAATATTAATTAGACTGTGAGCTAGACCAACATTTATAACATATCATGTAGTTGTAAGCCTGCATTCAAAACACCTCGAATCTGTAATATCTTCATCTGTATAATTTTTGGAAGTGATATCATAGCTTTGCCTGAACTCTTTCTCAATTCTACTGCTCACATAAGTGACTCCCACTTTCTAGAATGCGTGAAACAACACTAGGACATCTTAGAAAGATAGGACATGCATTACTGGATAGGTTAGCCTTTGAGTTAGCTCATAACCTGGCGTTCCTGCTAGCACATTAGTAGATGTTTCAAAAGGAAATGGGTGATGCTTACAAGGAGCAAACACCAACTTTCTTTTGGGGAAACAGATATGTTTTTCCAAATATGTATTCCAAATGATTTACCAGCTGATGTGTGTTCTACAGCGTAAGATTACATCCGTATGTTTTCCCTTTCTTCTTTAACTTTAGCTGATAATATGACTTATCTAAATGCTTATCCTCTAGACAGCCTTACTAAACATCTTAATTTTCTAACATCCTCTTGAAGTTCTGTATTTTACCTTTGCATATTTTAAAAAAGAATCCTCTAGCAGTTTTATGGTTGGTGCCTGGCAATTTTGTTTGCCATTTGGCTTCAGAAGTAAGCCAGTCCAGGTTTAAATCTTCCTCTAGAATATAGTTGCCTAACAGAATTTTCATCTGCTCCTTGTTCTTACTTGCTCTGGATAAACTGTCAAAATTCTTTCACTGCATCAGTATTAATTACATTCTGCTTTTATTTCAAATCCAGTAAGGATTTAAGAAAGCACTGTGGATTATATTAACTATATGTCCTTGGGAAGCAGAAATCTTTCATGTACAGTAATGCAAATTATTAGGTTTTTTTCCCCCCTCGTCTCCCCCATCTCCCTGTTTCAGTGGACTGAAAATGACTGTTTCGTGGTGCTGCACAGAATGTAATTCTTATGATGAAGGGCTTCTGTTAAATTAATGTTCTGGTTTCTGCGTTAAGTTCATACATGGTTTAGTTCTTTTGTTTATATTTTTCTTCTGATAACCTTTATAATTTCTATGGGAATATGTGCATTTTTCTTACTGTTCTTGAAGTGGCACTGTGAGGGAAGCTATATTAATGTATATGAACTAAATAAAGCAGTTCAGGGTGGGGGTTGAAAGTGCTTTTACAAGAATCAGGGTGAGTAACACTGTTGATGTATTGACTTTGAACCATCTGGCAAGGTTTCTCTTGAAATGACTCTTAGACTTTTGCATTGTCCTTTAGCAGCAGGAAATCCTATCTGCCTCTGCTGTGGCTAAACTTAATTGCCTGGAGGATGGAATAATTTTTTGTGCTTAGTGTAGATGGTAGTTTGCATGTAAACAGAGTTGGAGTTTGACCCCTAAGCTGGATAACATGCTGGACAAAGCACTTTGTCAACTCACAGAACAGGAAACTTAAAATGGGCAAGATGTGTTTTACGTCAGTGAAACTTCTGAAACTGTGTGCAGGGTTTTGCTGAAAAAAAGAGTCTCTTATTTCACCAAAAATAAAAAATCTTAATTTGTTTAGGCCTTTTAGTCTACAAGAACATTTACATAACAAATTGTACTGTACTACTTTTGGTGATACTGTTCCAGGAGTAACTAAATCAAAGTTCATTTGTCTTTAGATGCAGGTATCTTTGCATGCTACAAATAAAGGCCAGTTCTGAAAATCAGTCTACTTCAGACATCTCTCTTAGTTCATAAATCTTAAGGTGATATACAGTAATTTAAAGGAGAGGTTGAGGGTCTTCAAAATATTATCTATTGTGGTTAAAAATTGTTTTGAGGAAGACTTTCACAATAGAAAAGACAGACCTGTACGAAGCTGGACTAGTACATATGCTTGAAAATGATAAAGCAAAGGAGAGCTGAGAAAAGTTCATAAAAAGGCTTAGATGACAGCTACCTGCTGTGATGTAAAATGTTTACTCTGTATGTTCTGATACCAGTAAAATCTTTGTGGTTTGCAAAATAGTGTTATCAATTTCAGTTAAACATGTTTTGTCTGCAAGTAGGTCCCTTTCTATAAACAGTGATTTAGTGTTGTCTAACGCAGGCGCCATCTCTTTGCTACCAAGACTGTTAGTTTACCTCAGATAAATCATGGAGGTAACTTAGCTACTAGTAAAGCAAATCGGGATGAGAAGACTTTTTGCCCCTCTCTGAACACAGCACTAGCAGGTTTTTACTTCGTTCAAACATGTTCTGAACAGCCATCTGTCTGTATCTACTATTTTTTTTGTGCTTTTATTGAATATATTGTAAGATATATGGATGTTATAAGAAGCTATCTTCTTTCCTCCACTTAGGAGGCCAAAAATAATTGTATCTTGCAAATTACTCTGCTTTTGTATTATATTTCCTAGGTCACTGACAGTTGATGACTCTTTTCTGTGGAACTTGGATATTCCAGGCTCCTTGATTTCAGAGCTTTGCCATTTGGAAGGCCGCTGCAGTGGCCTGCAGTGTTGTCCAGCCATAGTAATAAATGAGTTGGGCTGTGACAAACACTTGCTCTCTTGATTGCCATATTGTGAGAGAAGAGCCCAAAGGACCTGCAGGCGGTGCCCAGGGGGTGGGAAAAAATGGGAAAAGAAGGAAAATCAAGTAGAGAGATGACAAGAGTGGTGTCCTCAAACAGTAGGTCAGGCAATGGCTGCTTGTCATTGTCAGCATGAGACTTCCCTTTTAGGACACCTAATCCCATTTTTATCTTTAGATTTACTTTTATTGATTCTCTGTAATCTAAGTAAATAAATTACTTTATTACTTTATTTAGTAAATAAATAAGTAAATAAAAAAGCTGTATGCTTATCTTTGTGGCACTATAGAATATCCCTACTATATTGTTATTTTTCCATACAAAATTAACAACAAAATCAAAATACATGTTTATAATGTTCCTTTATTTTTTTCTTTTTTTACCATTCTCCTTTTCTATTAGACGTTTGCTGACCAAGTGTTTGGTATCTTCAGCTGGACAATTCCCGTTGCTGTAGCCTTTTCTTGTTTTGGTGGACTTAATGCTTCAATTCTAGCATCATCAAGGTAGTGAATCTCTCTCTTTTTGACAAATGCTCATACACAAGGCAGTAATACGTTATATCAGAATGCTTATCAGTTACGAGTGGCAAAATGACTTTCATGTCAGGACCTATAAGGAGTAGCTGTAATAATGGACCTAAATAAACCTCTGTGTGTGTGTACATGTGCTTTTAACATCACCTTACTTCCCCAAAACTAACATCTTTACTATCTTTTTGCATTCTTAGTATCTGTGTAAGTTTGGGGGTTTTCTTTTTCTCCGGATAAAACATTTAAAGTTGCTACTGCTGTTAAACTGCAGTCACAAAGCTTAGGGTCCAACCCAGAATTTTTCCTCTGAACACTGATTGTGCATTTGACTAGTTCATGTCTCAAATGGATATTTTTTTTCCAGACATTTTAACATCCTTCCTGTGCATTGAATGTATGCACAGTGTCTGAGCTGAGAACAAATGTGAACATGATCTGGTAAAGCAGCCAATATAGAACAATTTCCAGTTGATGGTGAAATTGTTCGCAGTTTTGGTTTTTGAGCATGTGGACACTTTTTTTTCCACTATCCTGCCATAGTGGAATGTTTTCAGTGCTACCTTTTTAGAATTTTTCTAACAGTAGAAATGTATTTCAGTCACTAAAGAAATTTTCTATTTTACCTGTAGCATTGTTTTCTAAAAAACGGATGTTAATAAAGTTTATAATATAATCATTGAAAGTTATATAAGCAGTATACCTTTATTAGCAGAGTGGAATACATGTTCTGGTTTAAAAGATGGAGATTCAATGTTGTAAATACTAGTATTTGACTGTTTTGGTCAATTTCTTTTGTCTATGTATTTGCTCTCACCTGTAGCCTTTAAAATTTATTTTCTGATTTTTCGTCTGTCCCCAACTTTCCTCCCACAGGCTGTTTTTTGTGGGATCTCGAGAAGGTCACCTTCCTGATCTGTTGTCTATGATCCACATAAAGAGGTTCACACCTGTGCCTGCACTGCTCTTCAATGTAAGATACTAGTGTTTCTTTTTAGCTGTTCGGATAAGATTGAATACCTAAAGGAGGCTTGTATTTTTACATAGGTTGAAGTGAGATTATAGAGGAAATTCTGTTCAATGTATCACTTTATTGCAGTAACAGCCTCTGGAGAGTTTCAATGACTGTAATTGAAGAAAACAACTTACCAAATCTCTAACTACATAGAAAGCTGAAATTGAATTTAAATGATCAAATGATTCTGCTGTGCTACTGGATACATTATCAGACTTCAGTTTTCTCTAAGCTAAATATGGATTAAAATGTCTGGTTAGTGTATGGTTCGGTATGCTGAATAAATTGAGGATTAAGATACTATCAATGGTAAAAATCTAGCTGCTATATAATCTTTCCTACTGATAAAACCACTTAAAGGATCTCAGTCTTCTGATATATTTCCTCAAGGGGCATATGGCTGAGAAATTATTTCCCTTAATCTTTGCCAAACTATAAAAAGCATCATTCTCGGAGCACTATTGCCATGGAAAACATCAGTAAGTCTCAAGAGTGGTAATTCTCAGAAGTAACTGTAGCTGATAGCATGAAAGAGAACCTCAGATGTTCCATTATCCATGGCATTTATAAGAGAGTGCGTCAGAGACAGGCATAAATCATGAATAAATCATGAAAAATCATAAATCAAGTTTCAAAATTTTGTTTTTCATCACATTCCTCTTTGTTTTTTTTTTCTGATAGTGTGTTATGACCCTCATCTACCTGGCTGTAGAAGATGTTTTTAAGCTTATTAATTACTTTAGTTTCAGTTACTGGTTTTTTGTTGGTTTGTCAATTGCTGGACAATTGTATCTACGTTGGAAGGAACCAGATCGACCTAGGCCTCTAAAGGTAAAAAATACTTGATATGAAATTGTTTAAGATCCTTTTCTTCCTTGTAATTTAGAAGTGCTGTCTAAAATCTGTTCCGTATACTTTATATCTAAAGAACACAAAACATGGTTTTCATTTTATATGGCACCATGAAAACTAGCCTATCCGCTAGATGCAAATAGTGTTTTTGTAGTAGCATAAGCTTTATGTTAGTTCTATATGGCACCATGAAAACTAGCCTATCCACTAGATGCAAATAGTATTTTTGTAGTAGCATAGGCTTTTTTATGTTAGTTCCGCCAGTACCCCATCTCTCTGTTAAATGGAGAACGCCTCAAAGATAGCAGGTTTTTTTTTTTCTTTGATTAAAGGCAAATCCCCTCATTTAGGTGAGTAGGGGAATGATAGTTCTTTGAAATTAGAAATAGTTATGTTATCACTTTAAAACACATTTAACCCTGATGGTGTTCAGTTCAATGTTTCAATGGAAAGTCATTCTTATTTTTTGAAATTACACTGGATTTGTTTAAAGACTTGATTCAGTTATACAGTGTCTTTCAGAAAAGCAGTGTTATATTGATTACTCTTGTAAATTTTAGCAGCATTTCTGCTGAAGAATAATTCTACTGCTTGCTTAGTTTTCTAAATAACCAACTGCGTAAGATGAAGAACAGATAATTTCACAGTGAGGTGGGAAAGTGGAAAGGTAATTCTCACCCAATTGTATGTAACTGTAGACAGTGAATATTTCAAAAATATGCTCTTGTTTTTTCCTCTGTCTCCAGCTGAGTGTGGCTTTCCCAATAATATTCTGTATATGCTCAGTATTTCTGGTGGTAGTACCACTCTATAGCGACACCATAAATTCGTTGATTGGAATTGGCATTGCTTTGTCCGGAATTCCAGTCTATTTCTTGGGAGTCTATTTACCTCCATCTAGGAGACCTGCTTTTATCAACAAACTTTTAGGTAAGTCTCTCTGCAGATGGAAACTTTGCTCACAAATGAGGAAAATTAAATTGTTATACAGGTATACTCAGTTTCTTAATTAAAAGAGCATATGAGCACACTGATATTATGTATGCTTACGCACTCAGGTATGCTATTTATTTACCTCCTCCTGCAGATTTTGCCTCAGCCTTAACATATTTCTCTGTAATGAAGCACACAAAGTATTTTTCTTAGTCAAGGTAGATTACTGTAAGAGGGATGAACCATTTTTTTGGTAACGACAAAAGCAAGCTGTCTTGCTCTACTAAATCTGTTTGAGGATGGACAATTTTTGTTAGTCACAGATGCAATTTTGGCTGTGTTTGAGTTGCTGTGGTTAAATTACACATTCCTTCCTGGCAGTTCACTATTTTTATTCTTATTGTGTCAGAAGAAAAAAAACACAATGAGGGATGTGCCAAAGGTTTATAGTATAATGTTATAATACAGCAGGGTTTGGTCCTGCAGCAATTGTTGGGGGGGAGGAAAAAGATATGCAGATATTGTCACTCTCTTTTGTGTTACTTGGGATTTTTAACTATTAATTTTATACTTTTAGAGAGAAAAAAAAAAGATTCTACCTCAGTTACCTGGCAGGGTGCCTAGGAGAAAAAACACCTTTAGGCACTCTTTGCTTAAAAATTCTTCCTGTGTTTCCCTTATGAAAAGTGAGCCAAGTATTCTTGACAACTAATCTAGTCATCTACATGTTGTCTAATTAGAGCTAGGCTGTGTAGTTTACTGATCCAATTTATCTTTTATTTCCTGTGCAGGTGCAATCACACGAAACATGCAGCTGCTCTGTTACTGTGTATTAACAGAGATGGACACAAACAAAGAAAAGAAGTCAGAAATCAAGTCCAACTAAAACTGCCAAGTCATTACAACATTACAAGAAGCAGGAGGGAGGATAAGACAATTATTAAAATTAAAGGGAAGAGATGCAACTGGAAAAAATGGAAAAACTGGTTCCAGCATCTTTCAGAAATTACTGAAAATGTGCTTACGTGCAGTCAGAACAGATATTCACCCAGATGTCATCCTCCTAAACTGTGACATTTTCAGGGCATGTTCTCATTGGATGATCATTAGCTACTTATTTTGGGCACATAAGCAGTGCCTCAATACCATTCAGGAGCGGTACAAGAATGGTAAGAGGAGAGTTGGATTTCTCAATCAGAGCTAATGGATCAAATTAGTTTTCTGCGGACCTAGACAATGGAATAATGTTTTCTAAAGGTATACTGAAAACCACTTTGAAGTAAAAGACTGAAAGTCATTTCCAGCTCAATTCTGATGAATGCTTGCATGAAATCATCTGCTGTGCTATTTCAGTTCTTATTCCAGAAGACAACTGGTCCCTACAAGCAAAATTATTGACAGGAAAAGGAAAACCATTTATGCTACGGTTAAAAATGGTTTAAAGATTGAGCCACCTTTTCTTCCTTGGACACAGACATTTCATTTTGTATACCATACTGAAGTGTGGTATCTTCTGTTGCAAGGATAATCAACTTTGATGAGATTCAAATTCCTTAGCACTAAAGATTTGATTAACACTTGATTATGCATGGATTCATCCCTGCTAGCTTGTAAATACTTGGTCATCTTCTGACCTGTCTGTTTGAAACGCCCAAAATTAAAATGTGCGGTTTGAAGCTTCTAAGCATTTGTTTTTGAACTGTTTCAGCTGAACACACAATAGCAGTGTTACCCTCCTCTCAGAAAACTCCCTTTTCTGAATTGTGGCACTAGCTAGTAGAAAATAGTCACCCTTAAACTCATAGAACTACTTTTTTCTGCCCCTCTGCCTTTTTATAGCAGAATGTCCTGTAGTGGCGACTTTATCCTGAAAGCTAAATTAGTGACCTGAAAGAAAATATTAGATGCAGAGAACAGAGGATCCTAGTACATCTCTGAATGTGAGGGATGCACAACAAAAATGAAGCTCCTTCATCTGTGAAAAGTCAGGGAAAAGGGGAAAATGCATGTATATTGTCCTTGCCTGTGTTTTGTACCATTAATTCTTGAGAGTAGGGGGAAAAAAAAAAAAAGTTATTTCCTTGTACACTTAAATCCAACAAATCACATTCTGCTGAGTGAAACTAAAAATTCCCATCAAGTGCAAGTGATTTCACTTAGAAGCACCTTTTCATCTAGTCAACCTTGAGTTGAAGGTCAGTGTTGACCTAGTTACTGCCATCTTCCTTCTGAAGATGCCGAGAGGGAAAATGCAAGTTTTGGGGGAATCTAAAGCTGTCAGCCTGAAGATAGACTTCAAAAACATTTTAGGAATTCTTACCTTACTTCAAAGTTGACACAAGTTTGTCCATATGTGGTTTGTTTCCTTTAACTAAAAATTAAATCCTATAATCAAAACATTGTGCCTGAAGACACGCATACTTCACATACTGTTCCATGTTTGCATCAACCACTTCAGTAATTGTAAAAAATATTTGGATTTTTTTACTGACTTCCTGCCTAAGTTTATACTAAGGAGAGAAAAAAAAATAGGAGTTGTTATAGATATTTAAAAACTAACCCAGTGGAGGCTCTGGGTCGGCATATGAAGCTACTTTTGGAGTTAAGACAGTTAAACAGCTGAGGAACTATGTGCTTGCTTGGCATGTAAGTCCGGTATGTCCTTTCCAAAAAAAAAGTATTTGACTATTATAATACAGTTCTTTAAAGTCTTGCATGTAAGTAGAATGAATTCAGCATCTGAGACAGTTGTCCAGGAGGCAACATGGCTTAAACCTCTCCCGCTAACTTCACCTATTATCTTGACAGCAGCAGCCAAAATTCGTTGACCACTTAATCCTTTTTACAGACAGTGAATCACAAGATTCAGGCAGAGACACAATACCTGTATTTATAAGTATTACAGGACAGAACCTGCTGTGGAGTTGGGAGATTTCATTTCCCTGTGTTCCAGTAGAAGGTGGCAAGCCTTTCCCTTTTAGAGGAAGATTGTTTTAAAGACATGCAAATCAGCATGCTGAAGAAGCTTCGCCTGAACTTACACCTACTCTGTTATGTGAGTAAAGAAAACAGTCCACCAGATTTTTTTATTTACATGGTAAAAGCTTATATTATTCTCATCCATTAATAAAAGTACAGACGAGATACCCAGCAATAAAAGGGTCAGGTCAAGGTATTTCTTGTGGCCAAACACTTGCAAAGACAAGTTTAAACAGAGAAGGAAGCACAGTGCCTTTTTGCAGGACTCCTGTTGGCCTTTATAGAAAGAGACTTGCATCTCCTGCCCTAGGGTAGACCTCTTGCAAAACCTTATGCACCAGTCACAATACTTAAGGGCTGCTGCTTACAGTCAGTAACATTATCCATCTTGATTTAAAGGACTGGGCATGCAGCTCTGAAAAAAGAGTTTTTTTTCACATCCTCAGCAGCAGAGAAGCAGGAAAAGAACAAAACAAAACACAAAACGCACCAAAAAGAGGTAGTATTTTCTGTGTATTAAGTGCTCCTATTCTCACTCATCTTTAATAATCTACCAGCGGCAGTTGGCTGACACTCTGTGACACAGCTTGGTATTAAAATGAGCTTTAGTTAGTTACTAGAATGCTGATGTCTATTCTATGTGATGCTCAAAAGCCTAACCCATGAGCGTTAGGCTGAGCCATGCCAGTTGTGGAGTTTCAGGATGCTTTTGAAAGGTCAGAAAGGAAAAGCTTGACTTAAACCCTGCTTTCCTACTGTTCCACTGAGTACAACTTTTACCAGAAAGTGCTCATCTTTCTTTTCTTTCTTTCTTAAGCTATACATTCTCATGAATAGCCACACTCATGAATAGCCATCAGCAGCTTTTTAGAATTTCATCTTAAAAAAAAAAAAACACCACAGTCAGTCAGAATCCAAATCATGGACATCATCATATCCAAATTCTTGTAGGACCTCCTGACGGTATTTGTTCCATGTTCTTCTCCTTAAATATTGATCCTCATCACTCAAGCTTTCTTCAGACTCTAGAAAAAGAACATAACACAATTTTAGACTAATCCCTCTTTACATAAAATTGTTAATCTAATAAAAGTTTTGTTATTAACATGAAAACCACACGTTTGAATAACTGCTATATATTACATTACGGTTGAATGGTTTAAAAAAAAAAAAAAAGGTGTTTTACAAACAAGCATATAAAACATCAATCTACTACTCCTTCTCAAAACAGGTAAATCCTTTGCAATTGTAGCAGCCTGGAAAGGATTTCTGGCTTTGAAGCTAAGCATTTAAACCAGAAAAATACCTCATTCTGGAAAATTGAGTTCATTTATAACTAGTGCAGGGCTCATAAGTCTGGTGAATGATTGTTCCTGCCACACAGGACAGTAATGGAGCGCTCTTTTTGCTATGTATCATGTCATTCCATCTGAGACTAGTTCTGGAAGTTTTGACTTTCCTTTAATCTTGAGGATTTTGCAACTCTGAAAGCTAAATTCATAGGATTTGAAGTCAGTTACTACATGTTGGTTCCACAAGACATGGTGAACCAATGTAACTGCTCATCCCAGCTTTCAAAAGTTCATAATCTCCTTCATCTCTGTGCATCTCTGATCTAACCCCTTATAATAGGCAAAAAAAGTAGTGCAAGGTTTGCATTTTTAGAATGAGGAAATGTCAAAAAAAAAAAGTGATTTAAATGTGCATAGCACAAAAGCAGACAGTACTTCTAACAAGCACACCTTTTTCTCCATCACCATCTTCCTCGGGTAAGAACTCATCTTCATCAGGATAGTCATTACGCCAATTATTTTCATCGTTTTCATCATCCTCATCTTCATATATTTCCTCTGGAATATGATCATCATCTACCTGCAAGTCAACATGGCAGAGAACGTTTATTATTTAAAAAAAAAAAAAAAAAAGTCTTCAGACCATAAAACAGAGCTAAGATACTGAAAGCCTAGCAACTCTGTTGTGGTGAAAAAGGTGAGCTATGCCTTTAAATGTTCTAGTGTTGCTGAAGTTGATGTCAAAAATAATCCTACTCATTTCAGCAGTACTGTAATAGTTGAAGAAAAAGCCGCTTCAGGTTCCTTATATGCAAAGCCTATTGACCACAGTATCCATGCAATGGAAAAAGAATGCTTACACTCTGGAGAACTTCACAATCACTGAAGGCTATTTCCTTAATACAAGAAAAGACCTTAAGATGATAAATGTAAATCGTCAAAAATTGAGGACTTGCTCCTTTCCCAAACTGATTTACATTTCACTTGCTACCTCCATGCAAGTGACAAATGAGTTGTGGATTACTTAAGTTTATATTGTGTGTTAGTTTGCCAAACTGAGGTCACTCAAGTCTTTCTGAGTGCACCAACACAACCCCTTCAGTTTTCACTGTCACATCATCATTTGCTCTCATCAGCAGTAACCTGAGCTAGCATGGGCAATTACTGAAAGCTTAACAGAGAGGTCCCTCTGCAAGAGTAGCATCTTCAAAGTATCTTTCTTGGCATGGTCACTTTTTATGTTAGGACTTGAAATATGTTTATTCATGGTCTTTCTAAAGCAGAAATACCAGTTTACCCCATACTTACCAGTTCATACTCCTCCTTATAGGGCTGGACAGAAAGGATATTTTGGATCCAACCAGGGGCCGATGTTTCCATATAGTAGATGTCATAAACATACTCATCTTCTTTCTCATGGTGTTCTGCTTTCTTACTATCTTCAGAAACATTTAAACGCTCACGAATCATCTCTACTGCATTGCAAAGAATCACATCTGGATCACTGGTTTTCTGTTGTCAAAAAAATAAACATGCATTACCAATGCAATCAAACACACAGAGCTTTAGGCACAGGCAATAGCTTTGTTTGCAGATAGCAGCCAATATCTAGCTAAGGATGACCTTCTAAGAGGTTAGAATTAAAATATTTCCTACTGGAATACTATTTGGAACATTTCTATTCTAAAATAGAAAAACATTAAAGAATTTTCAAATTAACCTAGTGTACAGCCATGCCTTTTTTGGGGGGAAGAAAACTTCTAGAACAAGTTCATTGCCAACTGCTGAAGGAAAATGACTAATTCTGTACAACTGTTAGCCTGTTTCTGATGACTTTGGTTGAAATGACATGTTTTAAAACAGGTTATGATTTGTACAGCATCCCTGCAACATGCAAATTGTAAAGATTTATATATACTAGCATTAACAATATGCTAGCAGACTACAGTCTCCCAGGAGATAGGGGAAAATAAAACTAATCAAGAGGTACAGGCTGACAGACACTGTAGACATCTTTAATTTCTTCCTTCTCCTCCGAGACAGAAGAAACTTGATGACAGCTCGTTGATTACTTGCTCGCAGATGTATTCTCTTAACACACAGCCTTTAAATCTTCCTCAGAGCTGTGATGGGCTGTATTAAGTGAAGCATCCAAGTGTACTTTATATATAAAGAGCTACTAAAGGAAGGTATAAACACACTCCCTTTTTACATGGCTGCAATTATTTTTAATAATAAAAAGTCTTCTTAATGCACTGTATGCAGTACAACCCTACATAGAAGGTAGAGCTTTTTTACACTAAAACCATTCTAGAAATTAAATAGATGCTTCTCCAACTGAAGGCATACTTAATTTATAATACCATGAAAACAGAACACAGGGGCTAAGAAGCCTGTCCAACACCTAAGAGTTCTGCTAAAAATTAAATACATGGTTAAACTGTATACTGGGATTCTGAGAAAGCAAGGATCAAAGCTATTTTCCTACCTTCCCTACAAGGGACATTCTTAGGCATGTGGGTAGATGGAGAGACAGACAAGTAGAATTTTTCATGGATAGAAAGTGGAGTAGAAGTCTGTAAAACCTCCAGGGCTCCACCTGGCAGATGAGCGTGAGCATTTAGGCATCTGAACAGGCCATGGGAAAAAACAGGCCTTTTCTGCAATGGCAAATGCTGTAAGGCTGTCAGCAGCATTACTCCATTTTAGAATCATTATATAAATAGATACAAACTCCATAAATGCACATTAAGTCCGTTTGCCAACCTGCGGGTTTGCTTCCACCGCCTCCTCCTCTTGCACGATATCAAAAAGCTGAAATTCCCCAGAGAAACCAGCGCTCTCCTCGCCTCCACCTGGCGCTGCGGCATCCTCCGCGGCCGGGGCGCCCGGCGCCGCAGAGGGCCGGTGTCCGGTCACCACGCGGTAGCGGCTCTCCCTGCGGCTCTCCTCGCGGGCGGCGCGCAGCTCCCGCT